TTCCTGACCCCAAATATGGTGATCAGCTAAACCCTGAGCATGTGGGCAAGACTCACCAGCCAGCCACCCAGGAAAGAATTCTCTGTAGTAACTCAGATCCCACCTCATCTAACGTCCCATCACAGACCATTGGGCATATTTACCGCTAACAGTCAAAGACCAATCTTATTATACCATCCCCTCCATAAGCTTATCAAGCTCAGTCTTGAAGCCAGATATGTCTTTTGCCCCCACTGCTCCCCTTAAAAGGCTGTTCCAGAACTTCACTCCTCTGATGGTTAGAAACCTTAATCTAATTTCAAGTCTAAACTTCCTGATGGCCAGTTTCTATGCATTTGTTCTTGTGTCCACATTGGTACAGAGCTTAAATAATTCCTCTCCCTCCCTGGTATTTATTCCTCTGATATATTTGTAGAGAGCAGTCATATCTCCCCCTCAGATTTCTTTTGATTAGGCTAAACAAGCCAAGCTCTTTGAGTCTCCTTTCATATGCCAGGTTTACCATTCCTTGGATCATCCTAGTAGCCCTTCTCTGCACCTGTTCCAGTTTGAATTCATCCTTCTTAAACATGGGAGACCAGAACTGCACACAGTATTCCAGATGAGGTCTCACCAGTGCCTTGTATAATGGTACTCTACTGGAGTATCTCTTATCTCTACTGGAAATACCTTGCTTGATGCATCCCAAGACCGCATTAGCTTTTTTCACAGCCATATCACATTGGTGGCTCATAGTCATCCTGTGATCAACCAATACTCCGAGGTCCTTCTCCTCCTCTGTTACTTCCAATTTATGAGTCCCCAGCTTAACAAAAATTCTTGTTATTAATCCCAAATGCATGACCTTGCACTTTTCACTACTAAATTTCATCCTATTACTATTACTCCAGTTTACAAGGTCATCCAGATCTTCCTGTATGATATCCCGATCCTTCTCTGTATTGGCAATACCTCCCAGCTTTGTGTTATCCGCAAACTTTATTAGCACATTTCCACTTTTTATGCCAAGGTCAGTAATAAAAAGATTAAATAAGATTGGTCCCAAAACCGATCCCTGAGGAACTCCACTAGTAACCTCCCTCCAGCCTGACAGTTCACCTTTCAGTACGACTTGTTGTAGTCTCCCCTTTAACCAATTCCTTATCCACCTTTCAATTTTCATATTGATCCCCATCTTTTCCAATTTAGCTAATAATTCCCCATGTGGAACCTTATCGAATGCCTTACTGAAATCGAAGTAAATTAGATCCACTGGGTTTCCTTTGTCTAAAACATCTGTTACCTTCTCAAAGAAGGAGATCAGGATGGTTTGGCACGATCTACCTTTTGTAAAACCATGTTATTTGTCCCAATTACTGTTGACCTCAATATCCTTAACTACTTTCTCCTTCAAACATTTTTCCAAAACCTTGCATACTACAGATGTCAAACTAACAGGCCTGTAGTTGCCCGGATCACCTTTTTTCCCTTTCTTAAAGATAGGAATTATGTTAGCAATTCTCCAGTCATACGGTACAACCCCTGAGTTTACAGATTCATTAAAAATGCTTGCTAATGGGCTTGCAATTTCATATGCCAGTTCCTTTAATATTCTTGGATGAAGATTATCTGGGCCCCCCAATTTAGTCTCATTAAGCTGTTCGAGTTTGGCTTCTACCTCAGATGCAGTAATATCTACCTCCATATTCTCATTCCCATTTGTCATCCTGCCATTATCCCTAAGCTCCTCATTAGCCTCATTAAAGACTGAGACAAAGTATTTGTTTAGCTATTGGGCCATGCCTAGATTATCCTTAACCTCCACTCCATCCTCAGTGTTTAGCGGTCCCACTTCTTTCTTTGTTTTCTTCTTATTTATATGGTTATAGAACCTTTTACTATTGGTTTTAATTCCCTTTGCAAGGTCCAACTCTACATGGCTTTGGCCTTTCTCACTTTATCCCTACATGTTCTGACCTCAATAAGGTAGCTTTTCTTGCTGATCACTCCCATCTTCCACTCCTTGTAGTCTTTCTGCTTTTTCTTAATCAGCTCTGAGATGCTTGCTCATCCAGCTTGGTCTACAACTCCTGCCTATGAATTTTTCCCCCTTTCTTGCGATGCAGGCTTCTGATAGTTTCTGCAACTTTGACTTGAAGTAATTCCAGACCTCCTCCACCTTTAGATCCCCAAGTTCTTCAGTCCAATCCACTTCCCTAACTAATTTCCTTAATTTTTTAAAGTTAGCTCTTTTGAAATCAAAAACCCTAGTCAGATATATTTTTGTTTATCCTTCCATTTAGTTTGAACTGAATTAGCTCATGATCGCTCGAACCAAGGTCGTCCCCTACAACCATTTCTTCTATGAGGTCTTCACTACTCACCAAAACCAATCTAAAATGGCATCCCCTCTTGTTGGTTCAGCAACTACTTGGTGAAGGAATCCATCAGCTATCGCATCCAGGAAAATCTGAGCCCTATTATTATTATTATAAAGTGAGCAGTGTACACTTTGTATTCTGTGTTGTAATCGAAATCAATATATTTGAAAAAGTAGAAAAACATCCACAAATATTTAATACATTTCAATTGGTATTCTATTGTTTAACAGTGCGATTAATCGCAGTCAATTTTTTAAATCGCGAGTAATTTTTTTGAGTTAATCACATGAGTTAACTGTGATTAACTGACAGCCCTAGCCATAAGCTATTTTCTACTGCTGTTCTACCCAGCAGCAACATGTCTGAAGACAAGATAATGGCAACACATCCAACAAACAATATTAGTCAAGCATTTCTCTAGGGTACAGACCAAAACCACAGCATCCATGGGACAAACAGAACTAGATATTGTTCTGCAATCTTAATTGAATTTCGGGGGATTGGTTTTACTCAAAACTTCACACTGTGGGACGTGAGCTACCCAAACACCTTCCCAAGTCAGTTTAGTTTTTAAAACATTTTTCCCATTACTGCTAACTGATAGTCTGTTCATCCCACTACATTTTCCAGGAGCTATTTTCATTCCAACTGGTGCCACATGTACATGTTCCCCTCTTTCACTGGCCTAGGCTTCCCCAGTTGTCCAATACTACAGGACATAATTTTCTGAAATTGACACTTACAGTCTGCACCTAATTCATTTGATGTCAAGAGTTAAGATGTCCCAGCAACCACTGACACAATAGCACTAACAGGCCAATATACAGAACAGGCAGCTGGGCTAACAGACTAAGGATCTCTCTCTCACTGGTGATCTCACTTTAATGGCTGGATGAGACACTCAGGGCTAGTAGTGTAGCAACGCCTACTGACATTCTTCTTTGACTCAAGTAATTCCAACTACAGAACAATTAGCAGGATTAAAAGAATTTTCCAGTTCCAACCAGAAAAAAATGGCATTGAATAAACATGCCAGAGCCTGCATCTTTCTGCAGCATGTGCCACCTTATCCAACACCTTACTTTAACATGAAGTGTACCTACTAAGTGTGACACTTCAGCAGCAAGAAATACACCGTACAAAGGACTCAGGATTTATGGGTCTCAGACACTCCCAGAGCTCCAAGGCCTGCTAGTAAAGGAAACTCAACACACAATACTGGGAGGATGGCAGAAGTGTCTTGTCACCCGTTAATAGGAGAAAGCAATATGGAAACTGGAGCTGCTGGGCAGGTATCAGTGTGAACATAGACGTGCAGCTCATGAGGCCCAGGGAGTCTGTCTTTATACATGCAAAGCCAATCAAGCGTTGGGATGAGCAGCAGGAAGAGTTGATCTCCGCATCAGTGTCACTGCATGAGATAAGTTTAAACTAAGAGATTCACCCAGGGCTGAGCACTACAGAACAGACGTGCATGGTTTCATAACCAATTCATAGAGTTGAAGAGGGACTGTGTTACTGTGGCAATGCTAATAAGTAGATGAGCATCGAACTCCTTTTCTGTGTCCTTCTAGTTTTCCCTGTTCATTCCTGAGATGGCATATGCTGCGCAAGTGAAATCCAAATGCAAGCAAAGCTAGTGCTGATCCGGTTCTGTTATGGAAGGTATAATAGACTCACACTTTAAGATCAGAAGGGACCACAGAACCTCACCCACCCACTGCTGTAATTGACCCATAACCTCTGGCATATTCTGATCCAACACTTCCCAAAATCAACTGGATAGGGGCCCGGTCAGCCTTTTCACTGAGGCAGGTCCACAGGAAAGGTGCAGCTATGCTTACTCCAGCTACATATCTTTGAATGGATTGGCAGAACATGGACAACTTCCTGAGTGAAAGAGGGGTAGGAAGTGCAGCAGAAATCCAGAACTGTAATTTGGGTGCATAATCATGTGCAGTTTTATTTTATTCAAAGATTGTAACTTGCAGCTTTACCAGGAGCTTAAAGTAGTAACATTTTTTTCTTCAGTTCAGGGACATTTCAATTAGGGGCATTCCATATTTCCTACACTATGTCCTAATCATCAATTGAAACTGAAATTGGCCAACTGTATTGCTCATGAAAGAGGAACTAACACTAGCGAGAGCAATGCATAGTAAGAAGAGGTGTCAGGCAAGCTTCCCAACACAACTCACCCAATGCCTTGCACTCTGGCCCATGACACTTACTATATGAGTCCTGGGGCCTCTCCTCAGCAAAGACTAGCCATGCAGTGGTTTTGTGATACGTGCAAAGATTAAGCAGAGACCAGAAAATTCGATTCATTTGAGACCTGAACCAGATATGAACATGGAAGTTTTAAACATGCAAATAATGTGAATGGTGTCACTTTTGCAAAGCTTTATTCAATACTTCAAGCTTTCAAAAAGCTTCCATTTAAAGGGGGAAAGGTACACTTTGGACAGTCCTGCTTAAAAAAAACAAACCCAACACTACGAGTGGCTAAGAGCAATTATCTGCACGTAGTATTTTGCTGAAGACAAAAGTGAACTTTTAGTTTGATGAGCACTAAATATAACCCAAGTACTGAATGCCTTGTACAATCTCTGACACAATGCGCTTCAACTCAGTAAATACCTGTGGCATTTGCTGTCCGCCCAAAGGAATGGAGCTTGGAGGCGTGGCAGATACAGCGGTGGTAGGCGGGAACCGTGGTCTTATTTGCATCCCACCTCTGGCCATAGTTGCGGTGATCATCTTTGAGGACAGAGGGACAACAGACAAAAGTAATCGCAAAACAAGAAATGCAGTGCACTGGCAGGATGAGAAGCACATGCAACCTCCGGAATGGGACTCAAGTGAACTTTTCTCCAGATAAGCCTAATAAGCTAGTTTATGGATCCAACCCCCTGCTTCATATACTCTATATCTCCATTTGTAGAGGGGTAATATCTAGATTCAAGTATATGGGAAAAGGCCAATTATATAGAAGCATAATTTGGTTGAAGGGGGTTCCCAAATTTTGCCTGACATCTTGAATTTCTAATTTAATATTGGAATTAATGGCTCTAAGACTTATCAAGAATGCTTTATACAAGCTTCTTCAATTATATATTGTCACAAGTCTTGGTTTCTGATGTCCTCTACCATATTATGGATTCATCTGAGGATTTGAAACCCACAGCAATATTTGTACACTGCATCTTTCCACATTAATGGAATGACAGACATTTCAACAGTAACTGCTGATAAGAATCCTCCAATGAAGCCTGTGATTTAGTGACCAAGACTTCAGAACCAACCAACCTATGGCAGTATGACTCCAAAGAGACTTCCAACAGAAAGGACTTCTAGGGTTTAGATAAAATACTCCCTCCTTCCTCCTGCAATCCCCAGAATAGGTGAAACGTATGGTCAAAACTAAAGCTTGAGTTCCCTTTGGGTGAACACCCATCCTCTCTGCTAAATAAATAGCCCTAAGGCTTCAGGCCACTAACTTCAATTAAGTACTAAAGTTCTAACTTCAATAAAGTAGGCTTCCCTCACAGATATGTTCATCTCTTTTCTTGGTTTCCAAATTATAAAGACTCAAAAGAATCAGTTGGAATATAAACACTGCTTAGGACAGATTTCAAGGGTCAGCACTAGAATGCATTTATTTTTAGAAGTAGTCTTAGGGGTGAGCTACTCCTGGTCCCAGAACATTCAAATCTCCTTGCAGGCTGCTGGGTCTAGAAACCATAGTTTTTTATAATGGCTTTAAATGTTGTAATTACAAAGAATGTGCTGTGGATCAGAAGTCTGATACAACAAGTAAAAAATTAGCATATTGTGGCACATTCTGCTACTGGGATTCAGGGAATTTGGGCACAATTTGTGCATATCAATGAGGAAGAGCTCCTTTTCATTGCTTTTCACGTCTATAACAGACAGAGCGCCAAGTCCCCTTTTTCTGATCTGCATACTACTAATTGGTGCTAGCAGGACCTAACTAATCCAGGTGTGAAAGAAGTCTCCTTTTATTTGAATGACTGTGGGCATTCTTGCTTAGTGTTCTGTGTCAATGAGTTGAAGCAGCCAGCAACATGTCTCTAGAGAGTCAGAGAATGCATGTGCTTACAATTGTTAAAATAAATAAAATTAAATTACAACACAGCAAGACTGAGAAAGGAAAGCAATAACTGATAAAAAACCAGCATCAAATTCAGCACAGCTGTTAGTTCACAACATCAGAGCAATGAGGTCTCTTTCCATCCAGGCAGTGAGGGATGTCAGAGACAGGATTTCGGAAGGTAAACAAATGAGAGAACTTCAGACACCACACACACATGCACATGTACAAATACAGCATGCAACAGCCACCACAAGCAAACAACTGAGCATTGGCACAAAGCACAGGTGGATGCTACAGAGTGCAGTGAAGAGCTACAGTGTCAACAGAAGAGCTGGTGGAGCAACACAACCCTAACAAAAAGGAAAATGCTGGCAGAATACATATCCCTCAAAGCCTAGTCCACCCATCCCACGGACTCACATGTGCACACATGAGGGTCCAGTAATGTATGTGAAAACCCATGGATGCCATGCTGAACCGCATGTACTATCTTGGTCCTGTTTCTCATGCCACACCACCAAAGTGAGTATTAGATATCTCCTCCAGAATCAATGAAATTAGATGCAGATTCACTGTTAAGGAGTCTGGCTAACCATGAAGCAACAGAACAAACTCCGATTCAAAGGCTTACAGCTGGTTGGTGGTTTGCTTTGGTTTAGTTTGTTTTTTTAAAGCATGTGCTGCTGGAGAGGAAGGGAATGTACTGTTAGAATTATACCAATTCCATGATCTTCGAATAAGGAATTCACCTTCTGACACCTTTCCAGGTGTTCAAAAAGTTCATTATAATATTTCCAGTGAGTAGGGTCCCCTGCCCATTTGGTATGTGAGGGAGGGAAAGGAGTTCAAGAGACTACTGTTGCTTTGTGCAAGCAACTACAGGACATCAGCACCACATTTACAAGACTTATTGTGTAAAAATGGAAGACATTGCTGCTCCAGTGACACTGCTCTGGGGCTTCTGGAGAAAAATTTATACTGGAGGCAAAACAAAACTATGTTTGAGATACCCTCACTGGGAAAATCAGGACAAATTAGTTTGTGAGAAGGGAGAGAATCCTTCCTAAGAGAAGAGGGGAATAAAGAAAGGATTCTTCCCCTGTCTAAGATATAAATCCTATGATTTGATAGTATCAGTCAGTCAGGATATAAGAACTTGAGTCTTAAAAAAAAACCCAGATTTGTTCCAGATGAAGTCTGATTCCTTGGTTTGAGGATTCAGAATTCCCCAACTATCCAAGTTTGCATCATGTTGGGATTACCAGGCCAGCTCCTTGGCTTTCAAAGAGCAACAAGCAAATCTGCATTCTGAGCATCTGGAAGAAGTCAAAGCAGAACAGAGTGTCTTAAATTTTAAACTTAAGTTCAGGTTATCATTCATCTTTGTGTGGTTTCCAGTGTGATCTTATGTAGGCTCTGGCCATTAGGACACTGCTTACTTCATTCATCTGCTCAGTCTATGAGCACAGTTACAGTCTCATAAAGGGTTGGAACATAAGCAGCAGAATGCTCGTGTGTGAACAAAATCACTATGACAACTTCAGAGAAAAGTCAAATTCTTGCTTCCACACTTCATCCATGTTAGCATTTAGAAATGATTTTAGCTGTACCCAAAGACGCTGAACAGAGACTTAAATGAAAAGGACACAAACATACTGGTGCTCCTAGGTGCTATGATAATACAAATAATAATAGCAGCATTGATCCAGACTCCCAGACCATTTGACAACCACAGGACATAAAACTAATATATAATGAGGCAAGTGTTATGATAGGGTATGCTTATAATAAAACTTCCTCAGAATAGAATCTAGAATTCAAGGAAGCTTTACAGAAAATTTTAAGGAAGTGGTGTTAATGGAATAAAATTAATAGGAGGTAACATTTACTCTCCAAAGCTGTTCTTTATAAACCCGAGAAAATCCAATCAATGCTCTGATGTCCAGAACTGTATTGACATATTCTACCCTTCTATAATCTCAAAACTAAACATTTTACTATATAAAACATTATTACACAAAGTACACGAAATATGTTTAGTTATTGGACAGAAGAGAATTAATTGAATTTTAATTGATTTACCTTGTATCAGTATGGACCTACATGGAGTTTAGTGAATAAACCTGCCAGTGGGGTTTAGAAAGCTTTCAGCAGCCCTAATTTATGACAGACGCTGAGTTATACTTTAGTTTATCCCATATGGCAATGTAGCTGTGATGCAAAACCAGCTGTCAACCACCATCACCTGAAACTTTCCAGATGCATTGCGGTATTAAGCAACCTGTATGGGGAAATTCACTTAACGGGGCAGGAAGTAGGATGCCCCCATATAAAAACACAACCCATTTGCTGGACAGCAACACTAAATTAATGACATGACAGCTGTCCTGCTAGCCACCCTAACTCCCTGTAGCTCCCACCTGGATATTATTCACAAAACAAAACAAAAAGAATAGTTTTAAAAAGCACATGTTTAAACTGTAATGAATGGGTTCTTGCCACTGCACTTACCATTGCTCATCTTTCATCTGGTGTGAACATAATGTAAGAAATATAAAAGGCCCAGTATAGAAACAGAATGTAATGGCCTAGCAGAACTTCAGCATCAATAAGAAAAGTGGCTTTGGGTTATCGTAGGCCACTATTCCTAGTACAGATCCTAAGGGATGCAGGTGAGAAGAACCATCAAATGTTACAATTCACGCTGTACACAAACTTTAAACACTGAAGGGGTGCAGGATGTCTACGCCATTACTTTTGCACTGGAGGCAGCATGAGACAGTGCACAGGGAGTCATGAGAACTGGATTCTATTCCCAGCTGTGCCATTGACTGATCCTGGACAAGACACTTCACCTATGTACCTCAGTTTCCCCACCTGAAAAAGTCCATAATTATACTTACCCGTGTTAGTAAAAGACTACGAATGAAAAGCATTAAGCATTATATGAGACCCTTATGGAGGATGGGTTCAACTCAAGCCCAAGGAGTCTTCCCCATTTAGCCTTGGTGCTGGGCACACATAGGAGCACAGCCATTGACGCTAGAGTGTACTGCCAGTTAAAGAAATTGAACTGTGCACCGGACAACAAGCCTTCATCCAACACTTCATATGCGACTCACTTACACGTACCATTTATCTTGCGAGTTCACATTCAAAATGAGAGCTATTTATATCTACCGTCCATTTTACTCAGAATGAGAGGGGGGAGGAAATGATGGAACAGAGAAAAGTGGGGGGAACACGTCAGTACCTCCACTATTACTTTTGTGTTTGGGAGATGGAAGGGAGATCACATCTGAGTATAGACCAGCAGTCACCAGTTCATAGTAGAGAGAAGTTCATGTGACAAGGCAGTCTCCTAAGAAAGTGTTATGGAAATAGAAGTGAAACACTCCAGGAACAGTTAGACCCATCGCATGACTACAGTAGATAGTCTTAATGTGTGCTGCTGGGTCACTCCAGGCAGCAGTATCTGACCTACTAGAGACAGGCATGCACAAAAAGGGTGTCAATGAAATCCTGCCTCTGACTCACAGCAAAAGGGAAACAGTGCATAATCACCCATACCGCCTTCGTAAGGACAACTGATGTCAGACCCCTCCTGAGAAAGCTACCAAAAATCCATCTCCATGCTCAATTTTAGCATGCACTTGCTACAGGCCTGCACTAGTGACACTGGCTCCATGGGCCCTTACCTGCCCTGAAGCTCCCATCTGAGCAGCCTGGGCCTGAGCCGCTTGGACTGCTGCCGCTGCCTGCTGCTGCTGCTGCACCAGTTGAGCTCTTACCTTGAATATTTAAAGAGAGACGGGGGTAAGCAGGAAGAACTGGTTATGGCGGATGTCACCTTTCCACAGCATTTAGATCAACCATCTTACTAACGCCTTCACGCAAACAAGACTGTCAGCTATGCATTCACCCTGGGCCAGCGTATGACTCACTGCATGAACACAAGCAGCTAGCTTAGAATAAGCCTCCCCACTGCTACACACCTGATACTGACTTTTCTTTGTGGCGTCTTCTCTACACTGGCATTCCTATAGGCAGGCTCAATTGCCACTTGGACTTTGCCATGGCAAACAATTAGCTTTGCTAATTTCACTCAAGTACACAATATTAGAGGCCTGCCTGCGGCAGCTGGTTAGAATGGCGTATTGCTCTGGAACTGCTGCATAAGTGCGACACATATAAACTACTCCTAGATTAGCTGCCAAGCCCCCACCTTCAATAAGGCCAAGAGTGAAGTAGAGTAGAGCTCACAATTAAAACTTAGCTCTCCTGCTTAGTAACGCACAGCCTTCCCTAGCTTGGTTTCCATAGCACTGAACAGTAACTCAACAGTAAGAAAATCTGCACCATTAATAGCATTCGCTGACTCCGACTGAAGCAATACTAGGTGATTTTGATTTTTGTACTTCATGGAGGATCTCTCTGTCTTCAACCGATGAACTGTGATTTTAAGAGAAGTTGCATCGAGTGACAATCATCCTTGACAAGTTCAACCAGAACACGACAGTCAGCAGGGGCAGATTGGGCTCTCTTTGTTGCACCTTCCCCAAGCAGAAGCAATGCCAATGGGGCCTCATGCTGCAGTAGTGAGAGGGCTGACACGTACACACATGTACTAGGACATTCAATGAAGCTTGCTCATGTTCTAGCATTCACCAGAAATGTAATGTTATAACTATATAAAACAAGATCTCACCCATCTCCTTGTCCCACCAATAGCAACAAAGGAACTGAATTTCAACTAGCTTCTCTATCCAGCATACCAATTTCATAGACTAGCTAACAAACCTTGGGATTTTAGCAAAGAACTATGCTGTGCTGGCAAGCAATAAAGCAACACAAGTTAGTGGTTAGCATTGTTATGCATGCACTAGGTTAACAGCTAGCCTCTGAACATGTTACACTATTTCACATCTCTACTATTAGCACTAACAAGGCTTATTTATCAAGGAGGACTTTATTTCTCTAGAGGCTCACGGAATACAGAACCATATGTTTTGGGTCTTTAACACACTTACCTGCATGGCTTTTAACTGCTGCTGGGTAAAAGGTACAGACATGACCTGACTAGGGATCTGTCCTGAGATTGCCTGTGCCTGAGAGACCATGGGCTGGGGCTGCGACTGTGGTGGAAGCTGAGACTGTTGGGCCTGAGCAACCTGCTGCTGTTGCTGTTGTTGTTGCTGCAGCTGTTGCATCTGCTGTTGCATGACTTGCTGAGATGGCTGCTGCTGTATCTGTTGCGGTGGTATTTGTTGTTGTTGTTGTTGTTGCTGCTGCTGCTGCTGCACCTGCATAGCCTGAGCTGCCTGCTGCTGTAACTGCATTTGAGCAATTCGCTGTAGTTGCTGCTGCTGTTGCTGCATCTACAACAGGAAAAGCCGGGATCAAGTTCAAGTTTCCAGCAATGCAATGGTGTCTTTAGTTTTAGAATGAAAGCCAATGGCCTGCAGGCAGCATTCTAACTCATCATACTAAGTTAAAGCATTTAGCCCAGATGAAAAGTCCTACCCTTTGAGCCAGCCTCAGGCTTTGAACAACTCACCTTCATGCAGTTTATATTCTAATTTCCCTCTCCAGATGGGCACAAAGTCATCTGCTACCACTAACAGACAGTTTCAAGGTGAAGGTACCCAGCCCTCTAGCTTCTCCGGCATAAAAGATCACAACACACTTCTCCAGACTGTTATCAAGCTAATGTCAGCATCACCATTTACCTACACCTGCACAAGAACAGGACAGCATCAGCCTCTTCTACTTGCATGCATCATCTTTAGGCATGCCTCATATTTCTGTATTGCAAAATTTTTTTAAGTGACAATGAGTAATTCACACAACTGAGACAAAACAGCTACTATTTCTAGAGGAAACTCAGGGGGAGGGAGGGAAGAGAGTAGGGCGTCAACTCCAATTCTCTCCTACATCCCTGACCTTCTCCGAAGCAGACCAACATCATCCTGACATTTAGGGCATGGCTATACTTGCAGATGTAGAGCGCTGGGAGTTAAACCAGCCTTCGGAGACCGCAGCAGGGATAACGCTTCCGTGTGTTTACACTGTCAGCTGCAAGTGCACTGGTGTGGCCACATTAGCAGCTCTTGCAACACCACAAAGAGCAGTGCATTGTGGTAGCTATCCCAGTGTGCAAGTGGCTGCAAACGTGCTTTTCAAATGGGGGTGGGGGCCTGGAGTGTGACAGGGAGTGTGTTGTGTGTATGTGGGGGGAGAGATGGTGTGTTTTGGGGGGCTGAGTGTGTCAGCATGCTGTCCTGTAAGTTCAGACAGCAGCAGACCCTCCTCCCCCCCTCCCACTCACAACAGCAGCATTCCACACTAATGGTTTGCTTTGTCCCGGAGCAGATAAGCATGTCAGCTGTCAGAAATGGAGCTTTGAAAGGGGATAGCCGCATGCCTGCAGCCAATTTCAAAAGGAGAAGAGTGGCCACTTGATTTCAGGGGATTATGGGACATTTACAGAGGCCAAACACAGCGCAGTAATGCAACACCTTGCCCACACTGATGCCCGGCGTTTCAGCCGGGGCGCAGCAAGCTTTATGCGTCTCGTGGAGATGGATTACCAGGAGCGCTCCAGCTTCAGAGTCCAGGCGCTCTACGTGCCTTGCCAGTGTGGACACCTCAGGAGACAGGGCGCCCGGGGCTGCTTTAATGCGCTCTAACTTGCAAGTGCAGCCAAGCCCTTGGACTCAAACCAGAAGGGCCAAATATTGAGCGTCTTTCTTGCTAGGAAAGATCAGTCTTCTCTAGGATAGAGCACACTGCGGCCAATGAACTCTACCAATCCAAGCTGATGCCTTGCCAAGAAGCAGAAGCATGTTAAGCCCTTCGTGGGGAGAGCTGACACTTCATATTGCTATGCAAGCCAGAGCTCTGGAACGGTTCTAGTTGACCAGTGGCTGATAGCACACGACCAATCGTGCCCGTGTGACCACTTCGCTGCTCAGTACCTGCTGCTGATTCTGCTGCTGCTGCTGCTGCATCTGCAGTTTGAGCATGTGCTGCTGCTGCTGCTGCTGGGCTGCTTGCAGCTGCTGCTGCTGCTGCTGTTGTTGTGCAGCGGCCGCTGCTGCCGCCTGCTGCTGCTGGACCTGGAACTGCTGTTGCATGGCCGACTGCTGCGCCTGGAACTGTTGCTGCTGCTGCTGCTGCAAAGCTGCCTGTTGCTGCTGAAATTGTTGCTGCTGCTGTTGCTGCTGCTGCGCCATCTGTTGCAGTTGGAGCTGGGCTGAAAATCAGGAGGTGTTTGTACAACGTGACTGACATGTAGACAGCTGTCCAACAGACAAGCCTGGTGGTCTCAACCGAACTCTTTTTACCAGAAAATTCCACTGCATCCATCTGATGAAGTGGCTTTTAGCCCACGAAAGCTTATGCTCAAATAAATGTCTTCGTCTCTAAGGTGCCACAAGGACTCCTCGTTCTTTTTAAGACACCTTGGTGTCTTTTATAGCACACATTTGTGATGGGAGCAATTGCATGAAAGCTCGTGCATTGACCCACTATAGCCTCCCATTTCCAGATATATATTTAAACATTTGTTATTCGTATTATCATGGCATTTCTCATCACTATTACATCTAAGCCTCAACACTTTGGCTGACTCTGAAATCTAATTAAATAGCTTAAGAACTGCAGGGAGGAGGAGGAGGGTGGGCTCATTCAAAGGTCTCACACATTGGTCAAAGGAGGAGCTGTTCGAATGGGCTCTGAAAGGAGCCTCATCCATTAGCTATCTGCCAGAACAGCGGAGGCCACAATATGAGGTGATATAAAGCAAGGAAGGTAGAAACAAAACACTAAGGATGTTCAAGAATTAAGGTATTTTGAGAGGAAGGAGTCTACTAGTCCGAGCCAGACTCTTACTCGGAATACTCCACCTCAGTCTCAAATGCAGTTGCAAATGAGTCCAGAACCAAGTAGCAAGTGGAAAGCCACAAATTTTAAGTATAGATAGAGACAAGGTGGGCGAGGCAATACCTTTTATTGGACCAGCTTCGGTTGGTGAGAGACAAGCTTTCAAAGAGCTGAAGAAGAGTTGGTCCAATAAAAGGTATCACCTCACCCACCTTGTCTCTAATATTCTGCAATCAACACAGCTATAACACTGCATGCAAGTATAGCTAGGGCATTTATGGTGGGGGTGGAGGTATCTGAAGGCAAACCCTCCCTTTCCCCCTGATTCAAATCTGTTTTTCCCATATCAATGACAAGGAGTGAGATGCACCATAATCCCCAATCCTCCTGCCAGGAGCAATAAAAACAGATCTAGGGAGTATTGTGTAACTTTCTCTTCCTTTCAGCCTAGAAAAGGGCTCTGCACTGGAACCCTAAACTGACTTAATTTCAGTGGATGGGAGCACAGTGAATACTTACTCTGTTGAGTAGCTGCAGAGACACCAGACATACCATGGGGGGCCATCCCAGAGGTTCCAGGAGGTTGCTGCCCTGAAAGGCTCATCTGCTGGCCCATTGGCCCAAGTCCACTCATCCCACCCATTGGTGCTCCTTGAGCTCGTGAAGCCATGCCCATTCCAGCTGCTCCTGCTGGGGGGCCGCCTGTTAGATTCTGCAGTGCATTCATAGGATCTGCGAATACAACATCATTACTAAGAGAACAAGATGAAGACTTGTCCGCTGAAATAGTTCTCCAGGCTGTGGAGCCACAAGGAAGTTTTGGCCTAGAGGACTCAGCATAGGATTAAAAATCCAACCTGAGCTCTACACTCACAATTCTGCCACTGACTCAGAGGCTTTACATAAATCGGTCTCCATTTTTCCATCTGTAAACTGGGGACACCAGGGTCTGAGGATTATTTAGGGGTTTGTGAAATGCTTTAAATATGCAAAGCACCAAATAAACACTAAATATATATTAACAAAAGGGAAATTTTTAGTCACCTCTACTCTAAACAGATATCCAGGTACACAGGCAAGACAGAGCTTTGTATTACCACATGGGAATCATGGCCTGTAACTCCAGGAAATAAGAACACACTGACGTGATGGATCCAAGTTAGGCCCCTTCTGCCCCAGGTTAAGGAACGGGAGTACTTAGGAGACCAGGTGTTCAGCCTGAAGGACCTTGCAATACACTTCCTCTACACTGCACACTGAAGCTTCTCCACACACTTCTCAAATACTCATGTTCAGCACTCCTCAGTCAGAGAGAGGGTGATAATCTGGGGTCTGCGGCTAGGGAAAAGGAAATGCAAACAGACTTCTGAAGGAGAGAGCATTACAAGCGTTTCAGGAACATTGTTATACTGGTGTTCACCAAGTGTGTAATATGTGCCTTCCTCCTTAAGGGTATACATCAAAGAGGACATAACTTTAGAGCACTCCAGAGTCCTGGCATTAACATCTACTGTGCAGCACATCTTTAACCCAGGCTGGGAAGAGGTGGCAACAGATAATTGGTGCCTCACCATATACTCTCAAAGGGGGATTAATATAGTTATAGAGGAGATTCCTTCGGTCACATGCAGAGTCCACCAGGACACAGTTCCTGCTGACAGGACTACTCCATAGACTTGTAATGCAGAGCAGGTATCAAGCTCATACACCAGTGAGGACTGCAAGAAGGTAAGCAAGGAGGAACTCAGCTACTTCCTGCTGGAGAGTCCAATTCACAACACTGACATTTGTTGAATAGGTTTAATAACATTTAGCACCAACAGACAGTTCAGAGGTGGAATCAAATGAGTGTTCCACACAACATCCATATGTGAAGAGTCCAGAAGACTCACTAGAACTTTCCTCTTCACCACCGTATGATTAAGAATTTAAGTTGCCCTCCTTTGCTGCACGTATGCAGTATTCCCTCCCTTCCCACTTCATATGCCACCAAAAATACTGACCATTTTTCATTTAGACTAAAAAAAATGTTCTTACCACTGACGGAGGCCTGAGATTTCTTATTGTCTAGAAAATAAGAGTGAATACATACACAAGTTATAAATTTTGCTGCATTATGTTGAACAGGTGACTGTAAATACATGGCAATTTAAACGGTTATTCCCAACAACCAATGTATTAATAGTGCAAAAAATTGCTTCCCATTAGTTACCCCCATGCCAATGTGCCTTCAAACATTTTACCCAGATTCCCTACCCTAGTAGCAAGTCACAGAGCTAGAGAGCTCCTAGTTTACTTCCTCATCAGGAATTTAGCATCCCAGCTGGCCATGGAGTACTGCTGCAGACATGCTCTGTAATGTCAATCATTGCCACCTATATTCCACACGCTTCTGCCAATGTAAGAGTTCTGCAAATCAGATTTCACTCTCAGGCGTCAAGATTAATGCTTGCTTTGTGAAATTTTCTACAGAATGGGACAAGCATCTGAGGCAGTTCCTCTACACAGCTTCCTGGCGCAGTGTATGACAGGTGGCTTCTTCTAGCAGTTCCACACCTAGGAAGACTCATAAGCACTTTGAGACCGTTTGTTCCATTCCAGAAACTTATTTCAGAAGGAATAAAACTAAAAGGAAGGGCAGATATCCTAATTCAGGATTCCATGCTGTGGATAAAATTTACTCTAATATCAAATGGATGAATGCTTTTTAATTCATTTGTAGAGCAAATAAATGAAGCTCAGCCACTTTGTCTTCACAGCATTCAGGTTGTGGTGGAAATGGAGAGGCAGGATGACCTCAGAAAAAACATTTGTTGAAATGAAAAGTGGAGATATCAAGAACTTTCTAGTGGATTCTTCAGTTTTAGACAGACATTGTGAAGATTACACATTCAGAACCTGGGCACAGATCCAGCAACAGAGACTACTGAAGCAACTTCTGGAGAATGCCAATCAGAACTAGCAGATTCAAGCCACCCAGAAAGCTAGCACTCCTATAATTAACAGATAAATATAAGGATTACTTACGAATGTCTCGAAAATGGATAATAAGTCTGGCCACAAGAGAAAGATATTCCTCCTAAAGTTGAAAACAAGAAACAGCTTAGCACAGAATGGGGAAGCAACGCACTCCATGACTCACTGTTTCCCTTCCTCACATTGCCACTCCCCCAGTGTAACAGAAGGGTCCCTCCTCCTTCAGGACTGGTACACTTTTCATAACAGTCTATGATCTGCTCAGGAACTGAAAGGGGTGGGTACGTTTCTAATGAAAAGGTCATTGTGTTTAACTGTGCAAGACAGGATAGGAGGAGAAACAGCAAATGCTGGGTAGAAGAGGTAGACAACTACCAATACAGCTGCATACTAGTGGTACTGTATATATGTTTATATACCGACAAAGCTATGTCTACACTTGAAGTGCTACAGTGGCACATCTGCAGCTATGCCACTGTTGCATTTTAAGTGTAGACACTGAATACAGCAACGAGAGGGGTTCTTCCATTGCCATGGGCAGTGGGTGGACCACCGGCTAGGGGAGGCTAGCCCCCGGCCTGGCCCACCCCTTCTGCCTGAGGCCCCTCCCCCCAGCCCAGATTCCCCCCCCTGGAGCTGCCAGTCCCCCCACCCCCCAAAGCACCAGGTGGGTGGGCTGCGCATGACCCCCTTCCCCCAGCCAATTGAGCACCAGGCGGGCAGCCCTTCCATTCCCAAGCGGCTCATCCCCCCTCCCCACCAGCCCCACATTGGCAGGCGGTGCGCAGCCCCGTCCCCTCCAGCCGTGGGTGGTGTGGCCCCAGTGCCGGGCCCCCCCCAGCTACCGCAAATCCCAGGCGCCCTAGTTCCAGCAGGCTTCCCTTCCCGGAAGAGGAGCAGCCTGCCTGGGCTGGGGCCAACTAGCAGCAGGAGGGGGCCTCTGGACGGAGCGTGTGCAGGGCAACGTGGAGCTGTTTGGGTAGGCACAGCCTTCCCCTGCCTATTAGACACACTCCCCATGCCCATTGCTGTAATTAATTCACCTCCTGGAGAAATGGTAATGCTGTCTAAACCAGGGGATAGGTTGGCATAGCTATGTCTCTCAGTGCTTTCACATCCGAGAGCTGTAGCTATGCAAATATAAGTTTTCAGCATAGACCAATCTTTACTTAACTTTACTTAACTTTTGAGTGTAGATCTGGCTTAAGTCAATCCAGCTACACTGCTTGGGGTGTGAAAAATGCACAGTCCTGAGCCATGTAATTAAGCACAAGTCATGCTAAGCTGTAGATAAAGTGAGTTCCATGCAGCTAACGGCACGTGGGTCAATGAGACCTTATAAACCACACTCCTGTGTTCTGCATGGTCACTGGAGACATTGTTGTATCTTTTGCGATAATAGGAATTTACCATATTGTCTTTGCCAAACATTTCACTTCACACTGTTTTTTGTGGAGTGTGCAAAGCACTTTGGTTCCCCACTCAGCATTAAATGCTCCTGTATAAATTTAACATAGTTTATGCAGGTGTCCTGTCCAGATGTTGCTAGAAAACTAGATGCATTTGAGAACCTGGTTTATCTACTCCCAACACACAGAATTGGAAATACATGGAAGTGCCTTACCCGAGTTTTGGCCTTCATAAAAACATGATTCTCCATATCTTTGCTGGATTTATTGTGGGCTACACCAGCCTTCCTCATGGCCTCCTCACTGCAAAACAAGAGACTGAACTCACGAAGGACATTAACTGAGGGCAGCAGAAACCTCCTTCCCTACCTAGGGAACACATGGATGGCAACTTTTCACCAATGAATCACTGACAAATCCATCCATACATTAAACATAAAGGAAACTAATTCCATTGATTTACATGCACAATCTGATTAACATCAATAGCAGATAGCCAGGTAGCCAGCACATCAATAGAAGGAGTCTCCTCTAATTAGTCATTTACCTCCTTGCTAGAAAGGAAGAAACTAGGAAATACCTCCCATCAGGTAGAGATGGTATGAGATTCAGCAACTCATCTGAACCATCTTCTCCTGTCAGAAGGCCAAAATAAACACCTTCCATGCTATGGGGGTTGCCATGGGGCCTCCATGCTACTTTTAGCCCAGTGCCATTTAAAAGATACTAACTTGGGACATTGATTGTTCCCCTCTCTCCACCTTTCCAACATCACCTGCCTCCTTTGATTATTAACCCTTTGAAGCAGGGACCATGTCTTCACATGAAGTTTAGACAACACCCAGTCAATAGGGACCAATCCTTAGCACGCACTTTGAACACTACCAGAATATAATTATAGTATATACTTGAAGCTTTATAAATTCAGTATATTATTGATGGGTTGTGTGGTTAAGCTTTTTTGTAAAAAAGGTAAGTGGTGCAAGCCTCACTTACTCTGGATTCATAATCACAGAGATAGGGGTGGCATGCTCCTGTTTTGAGCAGGGGGTTGGACTAGATGACCTCTTGAGGTCCCTTCCAACCCTGATATTCTAGGATTCATGCTCTGGCAGTGAGCACCAGAGCGGGGGGCTAATAGCCAACAATCGATGTAAGTAATACAATGTTTACACGAACGATGCATCTTAAGCGCTACGCCTCTCATGGAAGTGGAGTTATTACGTCTATTTAGTGGGCGACAGATTGGTGCGGGCAACATTTTAGTGTAGATGCTTACGCAGTTAGGTCAAGGTAAGCTGCCTTATGTCAGCCTAACTCTGTAGAGTAAACCAGGCCTGACTTTGTTTCTCTCCAACTTCTCTCAGGCTGGCAAGCATCTGTTTCTTGCCAGGTTCCTCCATAATTTTAAACAGCTCCTATTTCTCAGAGGATCCTATCAACAGTTTGGTATGGAATTCTCATTTATTCCATTACTAAATATGTAAGGGTTGTTCTGCACCTCTGGTGTTTAGGATGGGATCTTTTCAGCAAGTGGAAGTGGCTAGATCTGAGCACAATGCCAAACATGCTGAGGCCTGAACCTCTCCATGCCTCTTCAGTAAGATAAGGCCTCAATTTACCATAGCACAGCACTAGCAATGATTAATCTATTAGCTTTGATTCACTCAAAGAAAGATCAAAGGGTTAGGATAATGCAATCATGTTTCCTGAACAATGGACCTCAGTTTGCTTAAAGTCAGGGTGTTCCTCATACACAACACCCTAACATGAGCGCCTTATAACATTTTTAGATTCTAATTTTTTTTCATACAGTGATAAGGAACATGGCTGGTTGAAACAGTAAGGGGAAATGTGAATGTGTGAGAGTGGTACGGAAGGTGTGGAGGTTGGGAAAGTGCAGGAAGGGGGATGGAGGGATTAGGGGGCTGTAGAAAGGGAAAGGCGTTCTAGGGTGGGAGGGGATGGGGGGGTGAGAAGGGATGGACTATGGGAGGGAGGACCTGGGGATGAGTGGCAGAGGGAGTGGGGGCTCCCCCATCAACCCTGCATTCTTCTCTCCTTTGTGCGTGCTGGAATCTGGGAAGCACCACACCACTGTCCCTGCCCCCCACCATCATGTGAAACAGGATCTGGTGTGAGGAGTGTCTGAGCCCCTCTCCTTATTCCCCATGTGAGCTGGGTTGGGGGGCTGCTCCTCTGGGGGCCTGAGCCTCTATCTCCCATGAGGCAGGATATGGGGGCCATGCCCCGCCCCTTTCCCACTCCTTTGTGAGCCAGTATCTGGGGGGCCTCTGGGTTGGGAGCTCAAAACAGGCATGCCACCAGCACAAGCACTGTCACTAAGGAGGAGGAGGTAAGCACCCACTGACAGGAATGGAGAAGTCCACATGTCGCAGAACTATTGTTTCACATTGTATTCATCTCCTTGGGGTGTTCTCAGCTGAACAAGAACATAGGATTGAGATGAATGGGCTAGTTTACACCATTTTGAACCTCCTATGTTGCACATAGAGCCCCTTCTCCACAATCTAAGCCCAGATCTTGGCCGTTTCTATATTCCAGAGACTGTAGCTATGCAAACATGGCCCTGTAGCATAGATACAGTCTACAGTGACCAAAGAGGTTTTTCTATTGCCGTATGACAGCAGGCATCAAACTTCATTGCACTACGATCCTCTTCTGCCAAGAAAAATTACTACATGACCCTGGGTGGCGGTGGCCAGAGCCCAATCCCCTCCACCCTGGGCTTAAGCCCTTGGGCTTTGGCTTCAGCCCCAAGCAGTGGGGCTCAGGCTTCATCTTCAGTCCCAGACCCTAGCGACTCTAATGCTGACCCTGGCGACTGCATTAAAATGGGGTCCCGACTCACTTTGGGGTCTTGACCCAGAGTTTGAGAACCAGATCATGGACTTATGAAAAAGCTAGGTTGATGGAAGCATTCTTTTGTCAACCTAGCTGCATCTACACTGGGAGTTAGGTAAGAATAGCTACAGGACTCTGCGTGGATTTGTCACACCCCTGAGCTCTGTAGCTGTTGACCTATATGTAGACCATGCCCCAGCATCTCTACTCTCCTGTCTTTTCTTCCCTCCAATTGGTACAGGACACTTCTCACAGCCCCCCCCCCCACATTTCCACCTCCTCCTGGTCTGTCCAAGCTTACTGGGGGCATGGAATCACAAAGAGGAGAATGGAACTGGTACGGGGGGGCTCAAAGGAATGCATGGGGGCACTGACGCAATGGCATGACAGGGGACATGTTGGTGGTGTTGGAGTAGTGATACAGAAGTCTGAACAGTGGAAGGGAGAATATGCAGGCTGCAGCAATGACAGATGTGTTGGAACTGTGCAGGGAGGAGTGGAGCTATTCAGTGGGCGTTGTTGGGGAACTTCAGTCTCTCCTCCCAAAACTTCCACATCCATCAATGATACGTCTACAGCCCCTATCACTCTAGTATCAGTGCACCTCATGATCTTTAATGTATTTATCCTCATAACACCCCTGAGAGACAGGAACGTGCTATATAATCACCCATTTTTGCAGATGGGGAACTGAGACAGAGCGACAAAGTAACTTGCCCTGGGTCACATAGGAAGTCCGTCATGGAGCGGGGAATTAAACCCAGGTCTCCCAAGGTTCAGATGCTAGCCAGTGGACCATCCTTCCTCTCTTGCACTGCCTCAACTCTATCCCTCGCTTTCAGAAACATCCTCACTACTATGATCCCTGCACTGTTCCTGCATCCGCTCACCCAGCTGCTTAACCTGTGTCCCCCAAGCTGGTACTTTCCTCTCTGTGGAGAGGGAGAACCATGCTGTGATCAAAGTGCATAAACCTGTTTTTTTTTAAATCAATTTTTAAATTTCATTTTAGAATTAAATTTGAAATGACGACAACCTATATTAAGGCTTAAATTTACTATATTGAAATAATGTAAATTAAACACACACAAAAACTAGAAGCCTGACCAGCTCCCTCTAATTAATCTTTGATTCTCACACCCATATCATTCTAATTCAGCCCTCATGTGTATACATACATTATGACACAGTCTAGTTACATGATCACTGCCACCTGCACCTGTATTCCCTCTGTAATCCACCAATAGCACCCACTCTTAGGCTTCTGGCTCCCCAGCCATCACCTCACTTGGACAGAGACACGTACCTCACTTCCTTCTGACCCGGATATTTCCAAGCTACACAGTTCCCCAGTAAGTCAGTCTGCCCAAGCAGGCCTGCTTTGTTTTTCTCCTCAGAGGCATAATTGCATTAACTGCTCACAATTTAAGGTCCAACACAGCTTTTCCTAAATAAGCACATTTATTCTTAAGCATTACAGAGGAAATATTAAAACATTAAAAGGGCCTACATGCATGCTAATAAGCTTACCAGAGATCACCCCAATTCCAACAAGGGTTCTGGCAGGAGTCAAACCCCACCAAGCTGTGTTTTCCTGTGGTTACAAGTTCACAACAGCTGTTAGCTCAGAACAAATACCTCCATGAATCTGTGAGTCACTCCTTTATACAGTTTGGGCCTCTGATCTTGTCCTCGCATAACAGATGATCAGCAGACAAAGGTCCCCTCCTCAGGGCAAAGCTTCAAACGGCTGCATTCTTACATAACTGGACGGGGTACATTTGCATATCCTCTCCCTAGAGATTAACTGGAAAACCCACTTAACTTTAAAAGTTCATTCTTGTCTGGCACATTGTGTTAAATAGTCCTGTGAAGCTGCGAACACTTTCCCTGGTTTTCCTTAGTCATGTCTTCCTCCAGAGACATTACATACAAGCCCACAATAATACATAAACAATTGCATTTTTAATACAATGAACTCTTAAGATACTTAAACTTGATTCAGTAAGATTTAACTTAATTTAATACTATTTGTCAAGGAAATTGCCATCTCTCACAATCACCATTTTTTCCATAGGACACCTGCTTCCCTTCAGTGCACAGGAGGGACAGTACCCAGGGTTTAAATCAAGGTTGAGTAGAGAATGAGTTGTTTGTTTGTAGGACCCTTGCCTCATTTGCTGAGAAAGTGGAAGATGTGTAGTGAATGAGACACTGGATTAGAGAAAGGATGATCTCATGTGGAAGGCAGCTGAATGCTACCCTGGAGAATTAGATTTGATCCCTGCCTCTACCAGAGAGTTCATACATGATACTGAGCAAGCCACAAACCAAGATTTTCACAAGTGGCCACTGTGTTCATTTTTTAGGTACTCATCTTGAGACACCAGGGATCTGATTTGCAGAAGTACTGAGGACTCACAACTGCAACTGAGGTCAATATATATTCAGAGCCGAGCTCTCAAAGTACTACTTTGAAAAATCAGGCTCTTGGCTCTCATAGTTGACACCAAAAATTAGCTGACATTTTAAAATGGAAGATATGAAGTCACCTCAAGTGGGTGTTGTAAAGATAGCTCTTTACAAACACTAGTGAATTTAAGATACTACAATGACAGCACTACATGCATCCGATGAAGTGGGCTGTAGCCTACGAAAGCTTATGCTCAAATAAATTTGTCTCTAAGGTGCCACAAGTACTCCTGTTCTTTTTGCGGATACAGACTAACACGGCTGTTACTCTGAAACCAGTACTAATTCTGTATTCAGAGCTGGGTTTGGATAGCATGCATAAATCATGCATGGGCCACACACTGAATGATGAGGATAAAAGAAATATTGAATAGCTACCTGTTCAGTGACCATCATCTAACCAGTTCACTGAACGACACAGGGGGCAAAGACTATCATAATGCACAAAGGGGTGAGATTAAGGTGGTACCTTACTTAGGCCTTGGTCCATTCCATGTTTTGCTGCACATTGGACTACCGACAATTGGCCTGTCAACTGCCCTTCTCTCCAAGTCTTTCCATTTCACACTGAGATGCTTGATGTCGTTCAGAATTGTTCATTTCCATGTTATTCACGGTCTTACTCTCTTTCTTCTTGCATTTTCCGGCTTTCGTTCAAGGGCGATATTTGGTAAGTGTTCTTTTTCCATTCTCAGCACATGTCCCAGCCACTGATGTCTTCTTTTGTAGATTTGTGAGAGGGTGCCTTGTCCAGTAATTTTTTCTGACTTCTTCATTCATCTTCCTATCTCTATTATTCCCAATCTTCTTCTCAGACATTTGTGATGAAATGCATCCAGCTTTTGCGTATCTTTCTTGGTAAGTTGCCATGTTTCACTGCTATATGTTGTGATGGCGATAACAATTGCTTTCTACACATTCAGTTGTGTCTTGAGGGAGATGTTTTTGAGTCTTCCAAATGCAGCATTTGCCTTCCCGATTCTTCTTAATTCTTCAGAACTAGTACCATCTTGGCTGATGGCACTTCCAAGATACATAAAATTGTCCACCTTCTCCAGTTTCTCTTCAATTTTTATTTCTGTCCCTGTAGGCCCCATTAACATAACTTTACATTTCTTTGCACTGTATCCTAAATCTATCTTCTCCATTACTTCTTTTACTTGGTTTTTGCATTTTTGTAGTCCGTTGGCACCTTCATTAATAAGAGCGATGTCATCAGCAAAGTCTAGACCAAATAGTCTTGAATTGTTCCATGTTAGGCCACATGCATCACTGTCACATTGTTTTAATCCATAGTTGATGACTAGCATAAACAAAAAAGGAGACAGGACGCACCCCGCCTTACACATGTCTTGATGCTGAATGGCGTACTCAATTCATTTTCCATTTAATGCAGCATTTTGAGTTGGCGTAGAATACCTTCATAATGTTGATTAATTTTGTTGGAATTAGAGCCTTTTGTTTCATTCTTTCGTCTATAATTTTCCATGTTTCTTCTTCCACTGTTCTTTACTGCTTCCTCTCTTTCTACCAATTATCTTTTCAGCTGCTTCTAGCGTAGCTGTTTTGGAAAAATACTGGGATCTTTCCACTTTGTTTTCCTCAAGATCTTTAAGGCCTCAAACCTGTACTTGACCTCTATCTGGTACTCTTTTCGTATCCTGCAACCTTGTAGTTTCTGTGTATTGACTAATCTGTCTGTCTTCTTTCTTTTTGAGTGCTTTAAAGTTCAATTTGATGTCTGCTTTCAGCAAGTAATGATCGCTCCCTATATCTGCTCCTCTGAATACTCTTGTGTCTAACACTAATGTTTTCCACCTCTTACTAACACAGATATAGTCGATCTCATTTTGTGTAAGGCCATCTGGTGAAAACCTCTTTTTGTGATGTTTTTATGTTGGAAGAAAGAATTGCAGATACTAAGATTGTTTTGGGCACAAAATTCAAAAAGTCTCGTGCCATTGTCTGTCATTGTTCCAGCTGTATGTGGGCCGATGATTGTTTCCCAACCTCGTCTTTCATTTCTGATATGGGCATTAAAATCTCCCATAACCAGGACAAAATAGTGGTTTGGTATTTCTTTCATTACATTGTTCAATTCTGCATAGAATCTCTCTTTGTCCTCTTCATCTGTATCGTTTGTTGGAGCATATGCCTGGATTAGGGTACACTTAATATGCCGAGAGTGGAATCTAGCTGCCAGTTGTACAGTCACCCTTAATTCTGGCATTTCTTAACTTTGGTGTGTTTGACTTTGCAACCTTAATGTTTTTTAACAGAGATTTTAGATGTACTAGAACATTTAATATACCCAAAGACACCTTTCGGTATGAGCACCTTGTAAGTTTCACTGTTAAAGCCCTAGTGAATTAACAGGCAAAGATTACTGCTTTTTACTGACAATTTTACCTTTTTCCAATTACCTGGCTCCCATTGATAAGTTTGTTTTTGCAATTGACAGTTTAAGGATCAGTACTTTTCCTTCCCTCTGTACACAATTTAAGAAAGTCATCTCTACATTTTTGTATTTCTGCACTTTTTTTAAATGTTAGTAATGAAGAATACTAAACATAAGCACCTTAAATCAATAAAACAGATATATTTTCAACAACTCTTTACTAGCAATAGCATCACCTGCTCCTATTATTAATAATGGCCAATACAAAGTGCAAGCAAATAAGTTTTGTAAAGTGCCCTGAGACTGGAGCAAACTGTTGAAGGGTGCAGGGTTTAGTGATGTGAGTTCTCTACTGGAAACACCCTGTTGCTGGCCATAGGAAGTCTGACAGGAATTTACAGTGAGAATGGACCCTGCGAATTAGAACTCCTATGAAAAGATATAGAGCAAGAGGCAATCCATGAGTACCAGGCATCTTTCTATCTAGGTATTTATAGTGTAGAAATAGTGGGTATAATTAAACGAAACAGGGCACCTGTGCAGAGCCCTTATATATTCTGTTCACATTCATCTCATTCAATTCTGCCCTACATGAAGCTTTGAAGGTTTCAAGGGTTGTCCCAAATACAGCACATTGCAATAATCTTGTTACAAGGGCATGGATCCAAGTACCAAGACACGCACTAGAGAAACTGTCTCAGCCTCCTGAGCAGCCTTAGATGGAAAATGACACATCATGGTATTCTCGGCTGACGGCCAGGAACAGCAATGGATAAAGAGTAACCCAAAGACTGAATCACACTGAGAAGTGTGGGACATACACCTCAAACAGAAGACATTCTCAGCCCCCACTCACTCCTCTAACATTTTCCTGTATCTAGGAGCATAGCTTCCATCATATCCAGGATGAGCCTAAGCCATTCTCTACCATATACTTCCTCAGTTCTCTCAAACAGTTGGACTTCACAGGAACTGTAGTATCCACGTTTAATCAAAAAGAATCATAAGGTCTAAGAGTCATCCACCATTGACAACCCTACTGCCCCTACCAGTTGAAACATGCACATAAATAAGATGGAACCCTGCACAAGACAACGCCCTGCAGGGAAGAATAAGCTCCTCTTACTACTACCCTTTGGAGTTATCAAAAGAGCAAACGTACTGAAGCATCTTCACATCCATTCCCAAAAGCTTTACAAAGAAAGTCAACAAAACCTAGTGGCCACTGGTATCCAAGGCTATTTATAATTGAAACAAGACTAGCATGGCTGTTTTGCTTGCGCCCATACCACCCTCTCATGGCTATCTCCAGCAAATGCCTAAAATAAGACTGATAGAGGGAATCCATGTTTGAAATCGCAGTAACAGAAGCTGCATCATTTACCACCTATGCAGATATACCATATCCAAGAGACTCTCTCTAAAAATGGGTCACTTGAATATTTTCATACAAGTTTAAGAATAATTTAAAATAAATTAAAAGTGTGAATATTTGCTAATAGCAAGTAACAGTAATTTTCATAATCTTGTAAAGGTGAACGAGAAGATCTGTGCATGGACTAGTGAGTTTTCAGGACTATTTTGCAAGATCTTGTTAAACACTTTCTATGGTTACAGAACATTTTCCAAAGGAAATCTACATAGTAATTATTTTAATTATTTCCTTTACATGTCAGTTACTTATGACTCAGTGAAGGTGAAAACGGAAGCATAGGAAGAGGAACCAATGCGTGATCAGACCTCAAAAACATTCCTAGGCAACAGCTCCCAACCCTGATACTATATATCACACCGAGCTATTATAACCTCTGGTTGTGGCAAGTCTTATTTTATTCTAACTGCAACAAGATGAAACTGCCAAACTGTAATTTCAGATGTGACACATGAACCCAATCTCTATGAAAGCACTATAATAATGAATCACCAATACCGGCAACAGCATTTTTTTTTTAATTAAGATAATATGTAGGGCTACTTATGTCTGAGATGTGTTATGTAGTTCAGTGGAGGCACTGTCACTTGTAGAACAAAAAAGATTTTGGACCTGAGGAAAATTGTCAGTGCTTAAAATAACGCAAAACAGCCCATGAACTGAGAGGGTATTTTAATACTATCTACTTTCCAATTTCCAGAATTGTAAATGTTTAAGTGGCATTCCTTGTTATACAACTATTTTATTTTTAAATTAAGATTTTGTTTGCTAAGACTGATACATTTACTTAATCTGTTATTTTAAGCTTCTCTTGAAGGAATTCATCAGCATCCATATTTTAAATACCACTGACAGAAGACTGCTATAGATTGACATGCACAGACAGGAAAAAAAAAAGAGTTTAATTGCATTAGCTCCAAGTTTCCTTGCCTCTGCGGATTGTATTTGTGTAAGATAGGTGACTTCACAGAACAAACTAAAAGTGTAACATATTAGCTCTGAGCACCCAAAAAGCATGCGAGGCACAAGCAAAGCTGCTCTCTACCCTGAAGAGTTTATAACCTAAATTCAGACATGAACCTCCATGAAGACCAAAACAAATAAAATAGGATAGGGAACAAGGGTTACAGGAATGAGGCCAGGTGGTTACATTGTGAAACATCTAAACATCATGATAGAAATGTTAAGCCTGTTTGGAATTATTTGCTACCCATAAGCAGCAGAGCAGAGCGTAGGGCCCACACAACCAACGGTTTATTTAACATTGTTCTGAAACCGCAGAGGCTACCAAGTTGGTCAGGAAGCCGCAGGGGGTGGTCAGCAGATCCCACAGAAGAGGCTGTAAGCGAGCTCAGGGGAGAAAGCAGCGTGGCCAGCCTCCCCCAGAGTGTATTCATAGTGGGGAAGGGAAGGGGGGGGAATTAGCGCCCCCCCGACAGGCCGCTGGAAGGGGGCAGGAGCAGCGGCGTGGTCGGCTGGCTCCGGATAACTGAGCCGGGGACAGGGAAGCCAGCCCCAGAGACACACAGTCGGGTTGGCGGGGAGAGTGTGGTGGGGCAGCGGGGGCGCGCCACGCCAGAGGCTGCCAGCGGGCAGCAAGGAGGCAGGCAGCCCCTGGGGCCACCCCCAC